TCGATCAGACGACTCTCTGTTCTAGAGCCCGTGACCGTTAAACTTCTAGACCTAAGATCTTACTCAATACTCAACCAAATCACGTTGGGTTTGTTCCTACACCATCATCTACTCAAGGAGAACACATCTATACGGTTACATGCTATGAAATAAAACTTCACTTCACATTTGGTGAAAACCGAGCTCGAGATTAAGGTTAATGGTCAATATCTTTGTCTGAGAGGGGACGCATCAATCAGATGCTTGTAGAAGCTTCAATGGAGTCAAACGAACCTCCTAGATATGTTGGTTTCCTCTGGTGTAAGCTCCAAGTAGAAGTTCAATGAAATGGGGAGCGGCCTTGGTCTAGGAGTGGTTTGGAGAGCTCAAAAGAGGGGGATTTCAATGGGGATCTTCTTCTCTTGCTCTGGGGAAGCTTAAAAGTAGTTCAATTTTAAGTTTAGGGAAGTTTTATGGGTGGCTGAAATTTAACTTAATTTTGAGCTCAAAAATTGAGCTCAAGTGGTGAATGGGGGAAATGGCCAAGAGATGGTTTCAATGAGCTTAGGGAGTCTTGGAAGAGCTCTAAGAGCAATTTGACAAACTTTCCCTAAAAAAATTGGATTGCTCTCTTTTGGCCATTGACAGGGCTGATTAAATAGAAAGGCTTTGACTGGCCATCAGGGTCAATTGGTGGGTGCAAATTGATGTTTAGGGGGAGGGATGAAGGGCTCTAGTGACCAATTAGATTTGGCCAGCTCATGTGAGTTTAATTTTGAGTTTTGGTCAATGAGGGCTCCTTTGGGTGGTTGTTTCCGACGGCTGAGGAGGTGGTTGGTCAGGTTTTAGTCATTTCTTGGCTCAGGGAGGACAAAGGAGAGTTAATTATGATTTACTCCCAACGGTAAGTGATGATGGCAAAGCATTTTCAAATAAGGCCCAAATATGGTTAAGATCCCTTAAATCAAGGGACCATTGGTTCATAGCTCACCTAGGTAGTTTAGATGGGTTTAGGCTGGTCAATAGGGTCCGAATTGTGGTTGTGGTTACATTAATTTGGTCACTTTGGCATGGCTAAGTCAATTTTGGTGAAGGGGTTCAATTTGGGCCAAAATGGCTAGAAGTTGTGTTTGGGTTAGGCTAGCCAAGACATTGAGCCCAATTGATTGATCAAATTGGTTTAGATGATTGTCACAAGGGATTCAGAAAAGGTTTGAGTGATTTTGAATTGGTTTAGAGGTTCAATTAGGTGAGTTTTAGTCATTTGGCCAAAGAGGAATTTGGACATTTGATGAATTTTGGTATGTTGGGTTAGACTAGGGCTTAGGTTGGGCTACAGTTGGGTTAAGTTCAAATTGATGGTTGAAAATGGTCTAGGGGAATATCATGAAGAATTCTCAACATCAATTGGATGTCAATTTTGGGGTTTGGGCATTCAATTTGGTGAAATTTGGGCACATGGCCAAATTGGGGCAAATTTGGGAAATTTGGTCCAAGTTGATTTTAGGTGAAATTGAGGCTTGATCAAGGTCAATTGATGGTTCAATTTGATGTGTGAGAATCCTTTAAAGAGTTTATGATGCACAATTGAGGCAATTGGAAAGATTTGGGGGTAAATTGAATGGGATTTTTGTTTTAGGCCAAATTAGGTCTTTTTGATTTGGGTTGAAATTAGACTCAAATGTGGGTCAATTAGACTTGGATTTGGTTTGAAGTGATCATAGACATGATGAATTTGAGTTTAGAATTGCAATTGAGGGGTATTTTGGTAATTTGGGTAGATTTGAGGGGGCAAAAGGTTAGGCTAGGTATTTAGGTAAAATTGGAGTGCCAACCACCCTATTTGAGCTATGAACCAATGGAATCCCCATTTGGGTCCTCTATGTACCGGTCCTAGCTAAACCTCAATCTAAGGCTAATGGGTCTAGGGGACCATCTACAAGAGTCTCTCAAAGGATGAAGGGATCAAAGAACAAAGTTTGAGCTTAGGTTCGTGAGTAAATGTGAGTGAAAGTGAGTGCAAGTGAATGAAACAGCTCCAGACCAACACCCAGGGTCAACCTTAAGGCCAAGCAGGCGTATGGGGACTCATCTTGAGCTCCCCTATATTGACCCCACCTACTAAGTGCTAGAGGTTAGAACTAATATGTGGAACTTCAAGTTGAGCAGAGAAAATTTTAGAATTTCTAATAGTAAGGATTCTTTTTCTAGTCCTCTAGGAATAGTAAACAGGAAAGTTCTATGGCTAGACACTGGGCTACTAAAGGGGGAAAACTAAACCTCAACCAAAAGTGAGGTCGTAAGCTGCAAAGGCCGAAGTTGGGAGAACCACAAGTTGTGGACCAAATAGATCGTAGTTGGTCAAGTAGGTTGTGGTGAGTTATAATAACATGTAAATCATAGAGACCAGAGTCGGGAGCTACAAGAGTTGTGGATCAATTAAGTCGTTGTTGGCCTAATAGGTCATAATAGTAAGTTGTGATGACGTCCATAGGATACTTAGGATGGAGTCAAGAGTTGCACTAGTTCTTGACCATGAAGGTTGTAGTTAGTCACGCAGTGAGCTAAAACAAGAGAGCTTTACAAGCTTAGAGAAAGTCATCCTCTTCGGATGTTGTTGCACCGCTTTTGTAGTTTGTGGCTACACAGTCATTGGGGTCTGTCGTTGCACCGTATTCGATATGCATTGTTACACCATCTTTGAAAGGTGTCGTTACACCGTACGTGGAGTGTGTTATTTTGCAGAATACCTTGTTGCTCCGCAATGTACGTCAAGATTCTGCAGCGCACGTAGTGATTCTGCAACGGATTTCATTACAATGAGTTAGGGGCGACCGCCGTTAGTTGACGATGGTGTTAACGGTGGTGCTCACCAGTGGTCAGCAGTTGCAGGATTGGGAGGTATTCGCTAGATCTATGGTGCAGAAGCAATGTTGGACTTTACTCCAAGTTTTAATCTTCCTTTGTCTCAAGGTCTCCCCTCTCCCTCAAAAGGGGGGTAAGGTCATATTTATATAATCTGAGGGAGGTTTTTCTGCAAATAAGGAATTTGAACTACACTATTAGATGGCCCGGAGATCTTGGGTTCATTAGATTTGTCTCGTCGAGACGCCCGATCGGAATAAAAGCTTGTCGATTTGAAACCCGTTTGATCTTCCAATATGCACTTCCAAATGTGGTTTAAAGACTTGATATGGGTTTGATTTGACTCAAACTGGACAAATTTTGGTGTCGTTGGACTCGCATCGTTCAGCTGGTCAGTTTGCCTATAAGTTTGCTAAAATCAAAGTTTTGGATGACTTTTAATCAAAGTTTAATTAATTCTTACTCAACATTACTTCGAAATTCAAGTCATGCCTCAAGATTCGTGTCGAATAATAAAAATTTGTTGGTGTGTGAATGACCAAAAAATAGAACAATTCATTTTATTTACATCCAAACAAATAACTACATTTCAATTACTCTATATTTCTAAACCATATATGGTTAAAAAACCCAACGGGGCCTATTTAGCTAGAAGCAAGATTTGGTTTAAGTAAATAAATCTTGTAAATTTAAATTTAGAAATTTGTATAGGCACTTAAGTTGTATAGGCTGTTTGGGATTAATTTTTGTTTTATGTTAAAACAGAAAACAAACAGAAAAGCAGTATTGTTTATCTTTTCTTTGTTTTATTTCTTAATTTTACTTTTAAAACACCCTAAACATGGAAAACTTGTTTTTATCTGTTTCTAAAACAAATTTTTGCACTTGGCTTCAACTTCGGTCCTTGGCGCGCCAATAGTCTCAGACACTAGAACAGAGAAAGCAAACTTCAGAGGCAGGGGCTCATACAGCTGGATCAAGTGCGAAACAGTGAGGAGGTCGCAAACTGGTCTAGGATCATGCGCCTTATGTGGACACTGGAGAAGAAGGGCAAGGTTTTTGGTGCAGGAACATGAAGGCGTCGATATAGGCAGAGCAAGGAAGGCTGGGACGCATGTGCGGCAAGGTTGAGACATGAAGAAGGAATGGATGGTGCAGATAGGGGAGACGAACCTTGCGGCACAGGGAGAAGAAGTCGAATGGAGAAGGCAACGTGCAGCTAGCTTGAGTACATAATAGGGCTTCGTGCAAGCCGAAACGACAAGGGACTCGATTTCTGTCTCTGCGAACAGGTGATACAAAGCAGCTGAAGGAGTCAAGAGGAGACGAGAGCAAAACGTGAAAGAGGAGTTTTTGAGGTTTTAAATCCTGTAAAAGGAAAAAATAGAAAATATCCAACCGAACATGATAAATCATAATAGGACCAAACACATTTTTTTTAAATAAAAAACAAAAAACAAAACAAAAAAAAAATAGACTAAAAACGAAAACAAAAATAACAAATAGAAAGTGATATCAAACAGGGCGTAAAAAATACATATAATATATATTAAATCAGGTTGGATTCTAATAACTTATTTGAAAATACATTTTAGAATTTACAGGAAGGAAAACAAGATGCACAGAGAGTAGCATAAGATATTAAAAAGTAACAAATTTTAAGAACTAGAAAATTCGTTTGATAAGCTTTAACCAAAACTTTGACTCAACCTTGCAACCAAACAGCTCCGTACTGTTCAAAAGTTTATCGAAAGTAATGATTTTTTTTTCACATAAAACAAAGAAAATAGAATCATCTATAAGCAACTCAATGAACCCTACAAAAATACCAAAAAAATAAAAAATAAAAAATAAAAAAATAAACGATACCTTTCCAAACGATGCTATAATGAGAAAGTATAGACCTGTAGTCTTATAGAAAAGTGGAACCTTCGCACTATATACGACGAATGTGTTATGTTCTATAATTGAGTACACTTATCACCTAAAACTAGATATGCACTTTATTTCAGAAAGCAATAGCCCGATGAAGGGCCTTATTTGCATCTAAGGTGAGACAACTCGACAAATATAGCAATCTAGTCGGCAATTACTTGTTGGTTGAGGCACCAGATGGGTATATTAGCTAGTTTTGAGCTGATCAAGAACATGACAACTAAGAAAATCAATGATCTATGCATAATGAAAGAATAGAAAACCATACAATGTCACATAGTTAGGTACTCCTAGGAGGAAATGATCTATGAATAGAAAGATTAAAAAAAAAGTAAGAACTCGCATGCAGAAATAATCTGGAACTCTGGGAAGTAACTCACTGGTCACCGCCCACACCTAGAATACATTGTGCCAGATGAGTCAGATATGGCTCAGTCTGTGAACCGCTGCTAAGAATAGGCCTGAGACTCTGAAGCTCGACATTGAAATCGTTCTCAAATTTCCTGCAAATTTGAAACAAAAACCGTCAAAAATGGGCAGTGAGCTTCAAAATCCTGCCAAGTCTAGGTTTATGAGCTCATACATAATAGAATCTAAGAATATGGGGTTCTCAGCTGCTTTTGGAGCCAGACTTCTTCCTCTTGTTTTCCTTTCCTTTGATTTTCCTAATCCAAAACTATAAAACTCTACTGAATCAACCACATCACTTGTATAGATGGATGGCACCAACAACTGGATGGAAGCAGCGTATTGAAGGCATATTGACTTCAGTTTTTCCACTTTCTGAATATGCAAAATCAAAGCACAAACAAATAGCTAAGCAATGCTCAAGCATAAATTTGATTGACTAGTACAGATCTCTCCCTAAAGTAAGCTAGCATCATTTACAACAATATACAACAGGAGATTAACGAATCCTGTGCTTCAAATTACTCCATATTTCTGTGTATTAATTTAACGTAGCAAGGACTTGTATGTACAAGAAAAAGAAATCCAAATGTCAACAAAAGCAAATTATCATAGGAAACTGAAACTGACCATGTAAAAGAAAATCATTAAATGATTTGTAAATGAATATACAACACTAGAAACCAGTCTCACCTTCACAAGCAGAGGTAAAAGAAGAAGACATTCTTTCAAGCATTTTTGAAGAAATGAGTCATGCAATTGGATCACCTAATCCATATTAAAAAATCAAATAATTAATGGATAACAATTACACATTCAGTAGCAAAAGTTTTACCAAACACAAGCCGAATTAATGAAGAACCTCATCTATGCTCTTAACAGTTTGAAGTCGGTCATGCATAAGATGCCAATTTGGTTCTAGAACCTGAAGAGATTGAACACCTGAAAATAGTGTAGAGGATCCCAGTAAAACCATCACATTAATATAAGTTTTTAGTCTTACCTCGAATGTTAAATAATGAAGAAGGCTATTGATAAATTTAAGCATGCTACGACAGAGACTAGAAGACCGTAAGATGCTTGTCCCAATTATGTTACAGCAACGGAAACCCTAGAAAACATAATAGAGTCGATTGGAAGGATCAAATTGAAAAAAAAAAAAGTCAAATGGAAGAAATATGAGGTCGTACTTGATGTACTTGCCATGCCACACAAAGTTGGCGCTCAACATGTTTACAATGGAACAGAAATTGAAAAATTAACTGATACTTTGTCAGGGCCTTTCTTGATATGACAAGTGAAAGAGGCCACTGCACCTGAGCCACAAATTTGATCATCAGGATTTTATGCCGAAGTTTTCCAAACAAGAAAATTCATATTCACGGTACCATATATGTAAAATACCTTGTAACTCAGAGAGAATGTTTCTATGCCAGTGATGCTTATAGGCTCCAGCGGATCACCAATGTCGAAAGCAGGCTTACTAGCACCAGCATGAATAGGGCTCTCCAGATCTTTTAACGTAGACAGCTTCCTGAGCAGTGACACTCTTTCCTGCACAGCAGAAAAAATAAAAACAAACGAAAGGGTGATGTAGTCTGAGGCAAATTTTCAGCAATACAAGTTTACCACACAGCATGTCAACTCCTCATGACAGGGATCTGCAGCAGCAGCTGTAGAGCGGAGAGCAAGGTCGAGAAGTGTCTGTAATGTTACAAAGTATCAGCCAGATCTTAAACTAATCAATAATCAAAAGCCTCTTCTAAAATAAGATATTCTTGAGAATCACATGCAAGTAGATATTAAACCTGAAGCTTTTCGACGGATGTGTCCTCAGGCCTCTTAACAAGTTCCTCCATAGCAATGTCCATAAAATGGACAAGGAAATCACCCTGAAAAATTATGGAGAGCTCAAAATTCTTCTTGCCTAAAAGGGAATGTTCTTCAAAATTCAACTAGTGAAGTCATTCAAAGTTGGCCTTAAGAGAATAGATGATATCATTAGCACCAGACTTGCACATTATCAGAAATTCTGCAATTGTGCGCATTCATGAAAGAAATGCATGCAAATTAAGCTTATGTTTGCACATTAAAGCAGATGCAATCGTAAAGCATTACTGGAAAACACGAAGCCTGATTTTAGTGCAAAAATCAACCCTTCAATAGCCATTCTCTTTGAAAAACAATGGCAACATCCAGAATAAATATATTGTTTAACTTTGTAGGCCGCTAGATGAGCCTTCCAATGGAGCTCACAAATTTAAACCAGCAAATTGACTCGACAAGGCTGACAGTACTGTTGTCACTGTTTAAACTGTACGAAAACCCACATTTCTGGTCTAAAAAATATAAAAACATCAAATTTCATATGCTTAAACGAATGTCTGAAGAACTTCTCTAAGGTATATGGGGATCATTACATGTGGCAAATGAAGAATACAATTATGAGTGACATAATACAAAATGCATCATCATCATCATTAGCTTTAGCCCGACTGTCTGAGGTTGGGTTCAGGTATCCTCATTTTCCAAATTTCTTATGAGTGTTACATGAGATGTTAGCATAAACCTTACACAATTCAAATATTTTTGCATTAACTTTTATCCATATTGTTTTTTGTCCACCCATTCTTTATCCCAATTGCTTTTGCTCCACCAATTCTTCCATCTCACTCATTTGACACACTTTACCTAGCAACCTTATGGACGTTAATTTAAAACAATCATGCGTGAAAAAGTATTTTAGATGAATTGCCAATAATATTTATTTTAATATTCTTAGTTCAAAATTTCATTATAGATTATCACTTCCAGCCAACCCACATGGTAATAAAAAATCACTTGCCTCACAGTAACACCCAAGCCCCCTACTTTCCCATCATAAATTTCCCATTATTCTTATGAAAAAGAAATCTTTAAATGTATAAACTCAACTTAGCCCTAAAGCAAATGTAGGTATCTTCCCTCATTTTTTTTTCTCTCTAATGACACTGCCCATTTACAAAAACAATACCCCTTCTCCCCTCCCACTACCACAACATAAGAAAAAAGAAATTCTCCCCATGGTCAAAAAAGGGACTTCACCGCCACAAAAATTAAGATAACTCTTCTATCACATCAATCCAACCCTCCCCCTACCCCCTATAAAATAAAAACATCTTAATCCTATCACTGAATCCAAAAAACAGAAAAAAAGCTATCCACTCAACCTAAACCCTAATCCAAGCAATGAGAATTAGAAAAAAAAAACACAAAAAAAAACGGTGTAAAGCCTCTTCATCTACCCATCAAGTCTGCGTCTACATCAAAATCGATTGTCGTGGTTCATCCAATTTGAATCAATAATTTTAGACATATCTGTTTACACAAAAATACTTGGCTGTTTCAAGAGGTTCTATAGTTAGTTGGTGTTGCTAATCCCTTGCATATATTTACAAATAATGGCCGCTTCAGCTCTTCTTGCCAAAGATGGATCACCATTCACGCCTTCTTCTTTGGGATATATTCCCAATGGGAGCGAGTTCACTATTTTGGCATACATCCAATTCTTTTTCTAGCAACCTTTAAACTCTCCACTCTCCCAGCATGGACTGTATCTAGTCCCATCATCTTTTCAACCTTTATTTTAATTTTCATAAAAAATATGGAAATTGGTCATTTTACGATAAGTTCGATTATTAAAACTTCTATCATAGATACAGGACAAATGGCCAAGCCATAATTAGATATTGATTATTAAAAAAAATGTTGTGTTGCTCCTAGATTTTTTGTTAGGACTCTCACGTTCCCTCTTTTTCCTTCTTCCTTAACCTCTAAGGCGACTCTACAAATCTTCCACAATAACTCTACATTAACCTTTCATTGTGCGTGTCTAAACCGCATAAAGCCTATTCTTCAATACTACCTCTAATGCAATCATTCCTCAATAAATCCTCCAAATTTGGCCAAACACCACCTTAAAATTCTCACTTTTGACATTATTAACATGGCTAACTAACATTTTTAAAGTAAAACATAAAACCATATAACATAACTATTATAATAGTAGTTTAAAAAGTTTACATTTACATCCCCATAATATTCGCTTATTGCATAAACTACTAACATAAATCTTGGAGCAGTGATTAAGGGTTTGTTTGGCGCAGCTGTTGATTATTTATAATCTATTGTTAAGCAGATTATTCTGATAATCTGATAATCTGCAGATTATCAGAATAATTTGGCTTGCTGTTTGGGGCAGCTTATTCATATTAGTTTATTAGTGGTTAAATGACATTCATGTCTTTGTCTGATAAAACTGTTTGGGGTAGCTTATTCAGAATAGTTTATTGGTAATACAGAAGCATATAGTGCAGAAGCATACAATCATCACAGATCAGCTCCAAAAGATAACATACAGTTCTCACACTCTCGTGAGTACCAGAAAAAAAAAAGTACACAGACAAGTACAACTACAATGAGAATACATTTGTCCTTATCTGCACTATCAATCTGGGAAAACATTGGATTCCCATGACTGCTGGCAATATAATATGTGGGACTGTCAGCCCACCGGAAGAAACTGCAACAAGCTGAAACACCCTTAGCACAACAGTATAATTGTCTCTCAAAGCTATGAGACTGACGTGACGTAGTAATGAAGATGGTAGTCCATAATAACACAAAATACATCTGTCTGTAACTGATATCCTAGAAGTCATGTTGGTATAACTGCGAAAAAAACAAAAGAATCAAATGTCAGCTCAAGATATTTTAAAAAAAAACTAAAATTAAAAGCATACGAATATAAACTTATAATCTTATTAAAGAAAAACTTGATCGATCAGCAGTCACAGATAGCATCTGTGATAGACTCCCTTAAAGCAATCATATCAGCCAAACATTCACCACCATGATCTCCAAATTCATTAGAGTCTATATCATCTTCAGGTAATGAATGCTCACCCACAATTCCTGGAGTTTGCTCAAAGACATTCAGTTCATCATTGTCAGTCATATTGAAGTCTGTATCTGATCTTGAGGAATGTCTTCCGATGAAGTATGTAGTGACATTGTTGCAACCACAATATGCACCTGATTTTGGAAAGGATACGATGACATCACGTAGCATGACCCATTTCTTCCTCCAAACCCTAATATTCTTTCAATTACCCCGCGTAAAGATGAGTGACGTTTATTAAACATTTCCTTTCTGCCATGGATAGTGTCACTTGCTTTCTCGAAATCAGAAAGATGATATCTTGTGTCAGGATAGAGCTTCAGGTATCCCCTTTGCATGGGATATCCAGCATCAACCAGATAATATTTTCTGGTACGAAAAACACTGTTAATTAAAAATATTATCTGCTTAGATATACAAATTGCAAAGTAAAACTAACCTGATGGGGGGTGAGGGAAACATTGTGATCTATTCCTAGCGGCAAAGGAGAAAATTCGACTGTCATGTGCACTCTCTTCCTAGCCCGCCACTACAAAGGTAAAACACATGTTTAAGTCGCATACAGCCATGACATTCTGAGTTGTTGAATCACTCTGACCGATATATGCAACCTTCTCGTAGTTGGGTGGTAGGGCATCAACGTGGGTACTAGGGGTGTAAACGAACCGAACACGAACGAACAAAGCTTGTGTTCGTGTTTGGTTCGTTTAAAATTTAGTTTGTTTGAAATAAGCTCGTGTTCGTTTCTTAACGAACGAGTCGAACACGAACCGAACACTAATATATTAATATTATTATTTTATTATATATTATAATTTATAAAATTTAATGTTTTAAAATATAATAAATTTTTTATATATAATTATTTTATATTATTTTATATTTCAAACAATAACGATTCGAACACGAACGAACGCATCACTGTTCGTGTTTGGTTTGTTTAACTAACCGAACGAAAAAAAATTGTTCGTGTTTGTCTCGTTTACTTATCGAACGAATCGAACACGAACTGTTCGCGAACAACGAGCTTTTTTGACAGCCCTAGTGGGTACCATCAATTGCACCAATACAGTTCTGTTTAATTGTTCGTTAGAGAGTAATAATATTATGAATCGTATGACATGTAATAAAATAAAATCACTCATATTTACCTTGAAATATGGCATGTATCAAAGATCGTTGGCAATTTGTTCTTGAGTGATGGCAAATGATGGATCCTCTGGTTTAATTATTTCAGTTGCTAAGCTAAAAAGAGTTTGTATGCCTTTAAAAAAGTAAAGACTAATTGTTTCAGATGAATGTTGAAATTTTTCCATAGCTCCTCTTATTGATTCATTCTGTGACAAAAATGTGTAATGTTATAGCCAACATCTCCCTACACGTCGTTCTAGAGGCACCTTGGAGGCCGCCGTTTAGGCATAACTCGTGCAAAAGATCCATAAAAATAGGTGTTGTCATTCTGAAAATATTTCTGAACCTTATTGGATGGTCAGAAAGCATTTCACCAACTTATTTATCTCCAACAAAGTTGGATGTCATGCGGGGAATGCGAGCAGCGCTATTCCGGTAATAATCCAACAATAATATTGCAATGGTTGTAGCAAATGTCGTTCTATTACGACGCACACATTGTGGATCCATCCTAAATGATATAAGATGTAAAAATAATGAGTGCATAATAAGATATGGCTACAGCACTACCAATCAATTAAACTTCAAATATTAATTGTTGACGTTCAGAATATATAATACGCGACTTATAAATAAAACTTCAACCACTAACATGTACATTTAAAAATAAAAGACAACAAATGTAGAAGGTCCAAACATATTAAAAAGATTACATGATTAGAAGTTTCAAACTTTTTTTTAAAAAAAGGACATAAGTAGAAGTTCATATTACTGCAACAAATAAATATACAATCAATCAAAAAATATCATTTCTCGACCAAAATCCGCAAATATTTGAGGCGCAATTCAAGCTCTAGCGCCATGAATATTTTTATTCGAGTTGAATCCTTAAGTTTTTTCACACACTGTGCGTGAAATCGTCTGTCGGCCACAACTTCAGGAATAGTACCCAAAAGCCTGAGACGGTCTAATATGTTAGAATCAGAGATTGGTGGAACTGCAAAAGCTTCAACTAAATGATCGAAGGAGGTGTTTACAAAATGTATCTTCTCTTTATTTTTCTTAGCAATCCTTGGCCTCTTTAAAATTGTATTGGACACCCCTATATCCCTCTGGTTAATGCTAGACACTTCTTCATCGGGTGTCAATGGCTCAGGTGTGGTTTCATCTGGTATCCCTATAAAACCGCTTTCAGTAGGGTTGAATGAAAATTTTCCCGTTGAGACAACCCATTTAAACATTACGTCCAATTTTTCTTCAAATTCCGGCTCAATTTTGAGCTGTTTATACTTCTTCGCTGCCGGTACCGCCTGTGATATAGCATTTAGAGGGGATAGTTAGGAAATTATAATTAGAGAAAACAATTTGCGAAGCTAACAATACATGGATTAGATAGAAAAATTCCTCTAATTTTTCAGCCCACCATTCAGCTGGAGCATCAATTGTCCGAGCATCAATTGTCATTGTCCTTTTAATCGGATCCCAACCCTGACCGGTAGATCCACGTTTCAACTTCTTCCGTATTTTTCATTTCTTCTTCAATTGGTCCTATTTGTTTTCAAATTTAAGCCGGTCGTAATATCTGTCAGTTAATTCTTTGAATCTCTTAGCAATGTTTTGTCATCCCTCCTTATTAAAATACGTTGTTGGTCTGTTCCTCAGTTCTATTTCTTTAATACACAGATCGTTAATTTTCTTTAATACACAGATCGCAAAAAATATTTGTTACTTCTTTATCCCACATTGCGGACGGGTCCCCTTCAGCCGCTTTAGACATGATGTAACTATAGGCAACAAGTGAGAATAAAAACTTTTTAAATTTGAATCTCAATAGAATTGTTGAAGAAATAGTTGAAGAAATAAGAAATAATTGCACCAGCATATTCACAGTGCTCATAATTATGAATCTCAAGCCAACAACAACAACAGTTTCCAAATAATCACATTGCCACCAATACAAACAACAGTCTAGCTATTAGCTCAATATATATAAATATAAAAGGACAAATAAATTATGTGGTTCGGTCAATGACCTAAATCCACAGTAAAGCATCGAAAATACTTTATTATGCAATTGTATAAGATTACATAACTATAAATTTTAAGAGAGAATAATACAACTTGTAATGCTCCCTCACATTTCTCCTTTTGGTGATAATAAAAGTTTCTCAACTAACAAATAAAAATCGAACATGTTTTCATTCTTCCTCTCTTTAATGAGCTGGTACAACTTCATTATCTCATATATGCGTAAAGGCTTTAGGAATTCATACGAATTTTCAAGCATAAAATCATCCAACCAAGTAAAATGGTGTGGCAGGGGAGAACATAGCTAGAGAAGTAGAAGCAAAACCATAATCCCAAAGTTCTCGGATATGCTCAAATGCCAAGCTTTCGGCCACCATTGATAACCAAAACAAAGTTCTCGAATGTGTGCAGGGAACAATGAATGAGAAATAAGCAACTAACATAAAATAATTTCATTCGATTCTACATAACAATGATCACAAGCAAGTCAAAAAAAACATGCATTGCATTCAACTTATAGCATGATCATTAGCAAATCAAAGAAAACCAACCTCTATTCCTGATGTGCAATAAATAATGTCATTTTGTATGTACTTAACTCCCAAAATTCTAATGAACCAAACTCATACCTATGTTTCCTATAAACAGGAATTATAGCATGCCATTTTGTATGTTAATTGCAGCCCATAAAAATCAGCACATAAACTTGAAAAACAAGAAGTAATGTCAGCTCATAAAGCTTTGATGCTATAACCATTGCCCAATACTATAACCATTGATGCTATAACGATTGCACAATACTATAAACAAGAATTAATTGTAAAACCCAGCAAAAATTGAAACAAAATTCGGGAGTAAGCTTTAAGGAAACAGAAAAAATCGACCCCAAAATTATGGAGCAATCAAAATGCATTCTCCACACTTTTCTTCATGCCTACCAAACATGGATTTGCCTACCCAACATGGATTCCTCTCATAGAAAGTTCTGAAGCCCAGCAAAATTCGGGGGTTAGCTTTAAGGAAACAGAAAAAATCGAAACCAATTTTCTAGAGCAATCAAAATGCATTCTCCATTCAAGCCTAGCAAAATAATGAAAGGAAATCGTAAAACCATAAATATCCATTCGGCGACCTTCAAATTGAGAAGGAAGAAGATGAAAGCCCTTGCTCTTCCGTCAAGGAAGAAAAAAAACAAACAGCGAGGTTCGACCGTTCACGCCCATACCTTACGAATCAGAAAAAGAAATCAAAAGGAACACGGTTTGATCTCCTCTAGGGTGAAGAAATTCGATCGCAAGCAACGAACCAGGGAGGGAGAGCGCGAGGGGTATCTAGAGCAAAGATGATAGCCGAATGCGGGACGCAGGTCTTGACCCGCGTCGAAGCCCTTAAGAAATTCTTCGAAACGGGATGCAGTGTGGCGTGAATAATCAGACCGAACAGTCTCCCAAATACTGCGGCGACATTTTCAAAACACCGCCGCACCTAAATAAGTTGCCCCAAACGGGCCCTAAGTTGCCTCTAATATATTCCACAGGACCCCATCCAAAAAAATAAAATAAAATAACTACATTAATGAGAACTCCATGAATTGACGCCTTTTTTTCTTTAAGGAACGTCTTTATTTTAAACATTCAACATTATTCATAACCTCGATCTTTTGTATAACAAATATAAGATACGTTGGCCAAATTCATCTAAATATTACTTTATTTTTCAATCATATTGATAGATAACTAATAATTTAATACCCACACAAATTTTATATCATATGATTGCTTTCTATTCTACTCATATTAAGACATTATCCTCTGAATCTTTTCTCCATTATCTCATATTTTCTACTTATTTCAGTTGGTGTCATTGAATAGAATAATATCATATGTGAAAAACATACAATAGGATAACTTGCATTGAATATGTGTTGTAATAAAATATATGAACCATAAAAAAAATATAGTGACTAGGCGTTGATCCCTAATATAATCTTATTGTTTCACTCTACAACTACTTATTACACTAAACAATGATCCATCATGCATATTAATAGCAACTTGAATATACATTTACTATTTATTTTCCTTAATGCATAATAGTTTAACTCTCATTGCACCCGCTCATAAGTGTTCTCGAGATCAATAAAAGTTATATAAAGATCCCTTCTCTACTCTATAGTACTACATTAATTGTCTTGGACCATAAAAATCACTTACAAAGAAGTAATTCCGAGAACAAACAAAATAATAAGATTGACAAGATTTTCTAATTATAGTCTATTATACTCTTCCATGAATTTATAGCATTACATTTGAATACTTTATCAATGCCACAAGTTTGAACATCTCATCTAATCTTAAATATGACCGCCTACATGTTGCTTCTTCAATTTTTTGGAATCCTCTTAATCTTAAAATAACATTGAAAAGAAATGTCAACCAAATCACTCCAATATTACCCATAATTACCCTAATCTCAATAAGCATCTCAAATGAGCCAAAAGCATAAAATTCATGCATCTTATTTAAAATTATATCTAATATTTTTTTCAATCCTCGGCATACCATATTATTTTATTCATTATACTCTTCTAAAACTATTTCTTCCCTCAAATTCGCATTTGACAATTTCTCAAAATACCATTTTAACTTTTGATAATGCCTCCATCTTTAACTAAAATCTTACTAAATTTGCTTTTTATGTGTTTTATCTTATCAAAGTTTTAGATCTTGCTTTCATTAATTTATATCCTTTTCCTTGACCCAATACCGTCAATTATATAAGTCATGAAAAACTATGCTTAGCTTGCTACTCATTTTCATGATTTGCAGCTTTCCCATACAAATGTAAGCAACTATAAATGTAATGATTCCTACACTAAAATAGCCAAAAGAATGTTAGCACAGTAAACACTTAAATTCAAGTAATTGAAACAAGGAAACAATGAGCACTTATTTAAAAGAAAATAAAGTACTGGATTACCTGGTCCAGAAGAAAATATCTCTTCATAGATCTCAACTTTCCAATCAGGCCATACTAAAAGAAAAAAGGAAAGGCAAACTGTACTAAGCTACTAAAATAGGGCAATATAACCTAAAATGCTTCAGAAAACTAAAAAATTCTGAATTTAAAAGTACTGAGCTATGCACCTTTTCCTTAATAAGATTTAGCAGTTCACAACTTGCGAAATCATAAGCAATTTTGACACATTTCAGATAATGATGATCTGACTCGAAGCTTGTCAATTTTGAATTTTCTGAAGGGGGCACCTAACCAAAATGTAATATGTTGGTTGCAAATATGCTAAGAAAGAATGCCCTAATTGACTGATTCAACATGATAGCAAATTTATAGTACACCTGAACATTGTGTCCACACTCTCTCATGACATTTAAATATTTCCCCGTAGTCAAAATCATTCCTGCAGCACTTCTAAGGAAGCTAGGAATACTATCTTTGAGGCTGTAGCGCTGTTGCCAGTATTTGGCATCATAATCTAGTGTAAGACTTTCCTGTTCAAATAAGATTCCAGGTTTTTGATCAGGTAACAATACATGAAATTACCAAAACATGACAACGTATGAAGTACCTTTTTCAGTGACTTGTTTTCAGCAATGAAAAATTCATCGTACGGATCATCAATAACCCCCTCATAGACCCACCTGCAAGTCAAAAAATATAAGGAATGAAATTGTTGGAGAATCTCTAAGCTTTTTTAATCAATAAGATATTCAAAAACTGATAGATAAGCATTCCCTGAATAAGTAGAAGGGAAGACATGGGTATAAAACAATCCTTCAAAGTAGGTTCTCTCTACCATATAAGTTATGAAAAACACCACAAAATAAGACACACCTCTCTAATATAGACAAATATGGAGAACTTGCACTCTGTGTCATCTTCTCAAGCAATGCACGGACTGTAGTATCACCAGCCATGGCCTTAGCCTGCCCTAGTATATGTTGAATAATTTAATTCCTTGAAGGAAAACTAAACTACAAAATTGCAATTTACAAATGCACAAAAGAAAAATATAAGTAGATAATGCTAACAATAAAAAAAGCAATGTATTGCACAGCATGATAAGCAGTACGCAAATTAAAAGCAATCAGAGCAAAGCATAATGTAACAAAGTAAATTCAAGTGAGAATGTCATGCAGAAATTAACCGCAGCCCATAAAATAAGTAGATGAAGCATATACCTGGCTTTGCAAGAGGTTGAGAGTATCCGAACCAAACAAATTGCCTGAAGATGCCTTTTCGATGATGACGGATAAAGCATGTAGCACTGCCAACATTGGCTGAATGTTGGGCATTAAATATAGAAAGTTTACAACTAATTAAGACAATGATTTTAATAGTTCAACAAGAAATGCATTTACCTGACAAAAAAACCACAAACCTTGTACAGAAAGTCTTCCAAGGCGAAATTGGTGCTCGAGCTGTGCAACCATGGCTTGGTAATCCTAATGAAAGAAAAGAATTCAAGCACATTAAGCTAAACACCAGCTTCCAAAATGTGTGTACTCTGTTCAACACAAGGTTTTGTTTTATGTTTAAAACCAAAAGGGTGGAAAGAATTTTTTTCTCTTAGTGCATAGTGCAAAAGTTGAACTCATTACTAGAAGGAGGTTTGGAATTACACAAGTGAAGAAGCGTCATTCCAGTGCAAGAAATGTGTATCGGAGAAAACAACTTTTAGAAAGCTAAACTCTATCAGATTATTTCCCATTAAAGAAAATAGTTATTTACTCACTTCCAATTGCCATAGGATAAATTGGGAACCAAATTAAAGGCTAAAAAGATCGCATATACCATTAGACAAGCTGACAGATCACATCCCTTTACGTCACCTCAACCATTAGTAATCAATTTATAGCCACATGCCAAGTTCTAAAGTGTATCCCACTTTAAGCCATAGAGGATGACAATCTGAGACATGCATAAGCTCATTTCACATGAAAACCTATGAAGAAAGTACCTGAGTTTCAAATTAATTCTATCCAGATTAATAGAGGTCAAAAAGTTGAAGGAAGAAAAAAAACTACTAGTAACGTGATCACAATTAAATTTGAAATTTTAAATATCGGCAGACAGATTTTGGTTGAATTTTTACTAGATTCCTATTGGGATGGATGATACTTGATAAACCAAGCACAAGCATAACATAGTGTGAATTTGGTGCCAATGAAACAGTATTCAAGTTCATGCTTGTATTTACTTAACCCTATGTTCTACAACCTTTATGCAACCATTGGTTTACATATCACAAAATCTATTGCCTTGGTTAACTATTAGTTGCCTCCGTCTGGAACTTTTGATTTCAAAGAAGCAATTTCTTTACATAGGGTAGATGGTCTATTTTTTACTTTAATTATGTGCTTTATATTTCATTTCATCGGCTTTTCAGTTTCTTGCTCTTCATCTCACTTTTCAAAGTTATAGCCCAATCCTCAGGTAAATAGAAAGATGGTGATTATCAAATGAAAGTGCAATTCCTTAATCAAAGTTAAGAATATGAAATCTCTCACAAATCAACAGTTACTTCCATAGATGCTGGCCACATGGAAATGACTTCATCAGCATTTACTCCACAAGTTAGAGGTGCTTTTATCAAGACTAATTTTGCCTTCATCTACAACTTCCGCCGTTACCCAAAATGGTTGAGGCCTTGAAATTTTATGGTTTGATATCTAGGGCTAGAAATGAACCAATACACTAGACAAATTACTCATAAATTTTGAATAGAGCTCATTCATAATTGTCTAATAAATGAATCAAAAATCTTGAATACTTTTATAAATAGTTGGTTTATACAAAAACAAATCAGAATAACTTAGTGCCCAATTAAATTATAATCATAAACAATATCTTTTAAAGTTCATGAATAAGTTCTATAAGAAGCCCAAGTAAATCTGATTAAGGCTTGATAAAAAACTTGATCCAAAATCAATTAAAATTTTCATTCTTAGCATGAATTAATGTAAAAATAAATCATTAAATATCCTAATTACTAGTTAATAGCTTATAAAACTAAGTATTAAATCAATATTAAATGTCTATTTAATTAAATTACATTACAAAAAATTTTCATTTATATAAATGAATATCTTTTTAATTAATTTATTAATATTAACCATTAAGAATAAATCAATTTTCTCCCAAAATGTCTCCAAATCAATCATAGCATTCTTCTAAACCTATTAAAAGAACCAAAACTCTCAACCTTCTTCCCCAAAAACAACGCCACCACCGAAAACATCTAACTTTCTCCCCCAAAACATCGCCCTCCAAGATCTTGAGGACAAAAAAGCAAGGAAGCCGATGAGAGCTTTCTAAATAATGTGCGAAGGGATCTTGTTGAAGAAGGCAATGATGGGGCCTTTCTAGAAAAAGGCATCGATGAGACCAACCGTGTGTGAACAAATAGGAGAGTTCATGGGACTAGATGGCGGATCATGCAAGGGAAGGCATCAATCAGAGAGGCAACATGTGAATCCAGAAGAAGAGATGCACCTATTCATCATCAAGCCCAACAATAGTATGTGAGACTCTGGGTAACATAAATATATTAGTCAAAGGAGGAGATTCTAATTTTGAAGATGACCAACTAGAAAACATTTTTTGCGAAGAAGGCGAAAAAAACATCTTAAGTATGGAATGAATTCACTCTGATAACATTATGATGCGATGTAATCATTACAAATATCAATTGTTGAACGACAGAAGAAGAGGGCGGTTTTTTTTTATTTAGTTGTCGGGGGGGGGGGGGGGGGAATGCAAAGGACGCCTTGATGTGAAAGGAGAACCATAAAGTCTGAAGATCAATTTAATATATCTTGACAACCACTATTTCTAACACATAGGTCTGATTTTGCAAGTAATAGCCATGTCAAAAATAATATGGCAATGCTGAAATGAGTAAAACTCTCACATATATAAGTGTGAGAGTTGCCAATTTCATTTACTTAATATGAGATGACTACTTTGTAATGAAAACATCAAACCAACATTATGAGAAAGAAGCATGCATCACAATAAAGGGTGATTGTGTAACTAGATAAGAGCTTAGGAAGAAAAGGTTGAGAAACTTGTTATATTCAATTAGTAGAGTCAATGTAAGAACAGATTTATAAAACTCTAGTCAACATATACATTATTTAATGATGAGAAGTCATTTTGTCGCTAATAATAGTTCAGAAATTTCATCTAGCTGGTACTCAAAAGAGGATGAAACCTTATCCTAAAGTCCCAATTCCTGTTAAGAAGAAAAAAGCAAGAAAGCATTCGAAAATGCTACGAATGTAGAAGTGCAACGTGATATTTTGTTGAATGATATCATACATACTGCAAAAAAAAAACAAGTTTGTATGTATTCAATGATGAGATTAATAACTTTAAAAAGTTTAAGATTATTCCTGAAAATGAATCTGCATCATCTCAACTTCTAACTAAATCTGGTTGGATGTCTTTAACTGGAAAAGAAGACTTGAAGGATGAGTCCTGGGCTTAATGTATAAGAGCTTGAGAACAATTATAGTTATCCTGATTCATTTTGAAACTTAAGTTTATTTAACACTTTGATTTTATATGTTTGTCTGTTGACATTGGAATTACAATTTGAAGGAAATAGTGGACTTTTGGGTTTTGAAATTGATTTCAATTTTTCTTATTCGACTCTTTTATGCAAATTGCCAAATTGTTAAACATTAAAAATATCATATTTAAGGAGATAGTGCCTCGTGACTACAAGTTACACCTTCCCTCACGTTTCTACCTTTTAAACAATGGTAACGAAATATTGTTTTAATGCCTGTGGATCATATAAATATAAATCAATTTGGCTTGAGTGACACTTCAGCCCCTTGGAACAATTACATAAACAAATAGGTTCAACAATGAGAGCGTAACCTCTAAAGTTGAAGCTAATAGTTAGAATAAAGTAAGGATAAAAGAGTAATAACTTAGAGGACAGTATCATGAAAATTTTAACGAAATAATTATGTGATTGCAATCAGACCAACTTGTTATATGAATGAAAGAGTTGAGCAATCAGATTTTGCTAATTAGCAAGTTGAGTGAGGCACAAACAAGAAGTTTAAGATAGTTATGAGATAAAATTAGAAAACATAGGTAAAAATTCATTACATATAAGAGAGGATAGAATTGGAAAATATAGAATAAAAAGTTAGGGTTAGGCATATAAAATGGATGGCAAAATGAATAGACAGCAATAAGACCGGGTGTTCCAATTTATTTAGATGAATTGAGAAAGAAAAATGTGACCAAGGCAACCAGACAAGAAACAGTTCAAAAATATTTCCACAAAAGATGAACCATCATTAGATAGGAGTTAATTTAGAATTAAAATAAATCCTCAATAGTGCAAAAATTCAAGGAGACATCTACCATTCTATCGAGCAAGAGAAGTCCTCAATTTGCATGCTGAGGCAATAAACTTAGAAAAGCACGAGAAAACTACTACATAATATAAGATTTTAAGATGCACCATTAGACACGAGTTACCCTGGCATTCAAAGAAATCTTCCGCAGTCTCATAAAAGGAAGAATGTCCTAGGGAAAAGGTTTTTCGTCATAAAATAACAAGAAGAAGCTTTAATGAGCCTTATTGAGAAAGGGAGGAGGCGAGTTCATCCATATTAGATATTTTATCTACCAAAAAAAAAAGGACAGCTACTAGGTGCTCTTCTACGTATTGCAAACATGAGTACCACTACATGCATATAGGTAAAAAACCTATCTAAATTTTTTTTAGGATTTGAATCCCATGCCTATATTTTAAAGATCTCAGCAAAATGGTTGATAGTATTTGTATAAAAAGACCTTTCAAACAATTATAATTTTGTCAATCCATGCATCAAAATAGACATGTTATCAAAAGCTGGAAACAAGAAAATTTGAAGGTATAAGTACCAAAAGAAGGGCTCTCATTGCAGCAGCGAGTGCATGGTTCACAAGACCAGACCCAAAATGTGATTTAGTCTCAACAAACCAATTGATTAGCGCATAGGCTTCACAAAGAGGGAAAAACCTCTGTATCAACTCCTACAACACAGAAGTCACTGATCACACAAACTGACAGAACATCCCAATGATATCTTCTGAAGAAACCTTCGTGTTTCACCTGCAAGGCTAAGTCCATGGATGGATCAATCTGAAAGACAACATGACCTTCCTTTCCCCGTGCTCTCCTTATCGAAATGTAACGCCCCTCAATGCCCACGAGAGCAGAGAGCAAATCATCAATGACCAACAGTTCCTACATTATTCATCATGATCCATACTCTTACTATCACCTTCAGTATAATTGTATAGAGTTGAAATTTAGCCATAGGTTCAGAAAACAAAAGTAAAGATAGAACCTGAACCGAAACTGGGTATGATCCAATAACATTCTCACAACCACGACTGATTCAAAAAAATTTAAATGCAACCGTTATTTGTGAAAAATGCAGGTATATAAGAAACATCACTAGCAGCTCGACAGAACTCAAGGACAAAAAATCTAACCTTAATGACTCCAAGGAGTAGGGCTTTGTTCCAGAAGTAGCATTGGGAAGTTTGGTATCCTGAAACAGAAAGTGAGCATGAGCTGCATGACAAGGTAAGAAATATCGATAGAGATGTTCGGTTTAATGCTATGTAGGTAAAAGCGTTGTTAAAATCTTAACGTTATTCATCAAATGTAGTGTATTTTACTCTATGCTATCTTATTTAAATGACGAAATGTTATCTAGCCTATCTTTTCTCTGTTGCTGTTGATATTTCTTCAAGGAATCACATAACCTGTAATATCTAGACGTCTCAAATTGGGCCGACATCAATGTCATACAAATGAAATTTAACATCGTTTAGAAATTAAGCTTTGAAAAAAATAGTGAGCCAAAAAACTTACTGATGACTTACATAACAAATGCCAGTAAAATAGAAATCCAAAAAGATGCAATACCTGGTGGAATCGTCCAGTGAGAAAGGGCCGCTCTAAATTCCACTTAGGAGTAGCCAAATTTGGATCCATTTAGAAAAGGTAAGCTAAGAGACACCTGATTGCAAAACCCTAATTTCAAAACATAACCACATTCACTTCCATGACGGCTAGAAATAGACGAAAAGCTTTACCACTCGACTTCACCTGTCAGTTCAGGAAGCTGGAAAGCGAGGAATACTTATTCGGGGAGTTGAGGAGTTACCGGAGGTGGGAGTCGGGATTTGAAGGATAGATAGGCGGCTTGGATCAAACTTCGACAACAGGGATTATAGTTCCGGCTGCGTGGACGGTGAATAAAGCAGCGAAAGAGGTCAAAATTGGGGGAAGTTACAGCGGCGTCATCAGCGAACCAAGCGGCGATGGTGGGAGAGACAGCGATCCATCAAAGTTGGAAAAAAAAAAGTGCTAGATCGGCGGCGTAGGATCGTAGAGCAAAATGACCAGCGATGGCGGCATCGGAGTTGGACTGGGGGCAATCCTGATCGCTCAGTGCAACTGGGAGCGAGTAAAAGAAGTGGCGAGGAAGGCTTTCAGAGAGAAAGTTAAAGAAAGTTGTGAAGAGAACCAACAATTCTTTGCGGTTTGTAAAAAATATTGTCTTCGTAGGCGCAATATTTTCTGATGTCAAGAAATTGTTTTTTAAAAACTTGGTAGTATTATTTTTAATATTTTTTTTAATGTTAGATTTTAACTTTTTTAGTCGCTGCTTCCTGTAGGTAGTTAAACGTGTATTTGAGACGGCTGTAATCATGGAAAAAATATTACATACGTAAAAATAACGTGCGTAGCCAATCAAATCATATCACGATATCTCGTTTGACAGAGCAAAAAAAACGGCGCAGTAATACGGGAAATATTCTCCATTGTGTTATTCATGTGTTATTGAGCGTTATTCATGCGTTATTGTGTGTTATTCATGTGTTATTGATGCGTTATTGTGTTATATAACACCAAGAATATTCTCAGGACACAATAACACATGAATAACACACAATAACACTTGAATAACACGGGAAATATTCCCAAAATAGAAAAAACGGCACAGTAACACGGGGGAATATTCTCTCTCGTGTTATTCTTGTGTTATTGTGTGTTATCCATGTGTTATTCATGTGTTATTGTGTTATTATAACACCAGGAATATTCTCATGACACAATAACACATGAATAACACACAATAACACATGAATAACACAGGGGGGGATTATTCTCTGTGTTACTGCGTCGTTTTTTTTTTCGCGCGGGGTATCGTGGCATGATTTCATTGGCTACGCACGTTACTCTACTTGCGTAGTACTGATGTAGTACTGATGTAATATTTTATATTTTCTCGTAAACATGATGTTTTATGTTTGACAAAAATTAATTTTATTTTCGTATTCAAAAAATTATGGCTTAAAGTTACATATTTCCGATCATCATAATTTTTTTAACAACAGTTTTACAATTGTTTCTTCAAACAGTTGGGGCTACGCCAAACAGACTTATGTCTTGTGAGAAAACGTAATATTCAGCTATAACATTTTGAAAACACGGATAAAACACTGCCCTAAACACAACCTTAGAAAACATATCAAGAAATGTAAAACATGAGAATTATGTGATATGGCATTAAATTTTATTATAATCTCTTGTAGAGTTTTTATTTTTAGTAGTAAAATAAATATGATAATTATTTTTTAAATTTAAAGTAATATAAATTTGATTTAAGTAGAGACTAGCAGGTGGATAATAGCTTGCAAAGGTAATTCTCAAGAGCTTGTGCCATGCAACCGTGCAGGAACATGCAGCTGTGTGATAAATATTTTTGTTAATATTTAAAAATAAGTCAAATCTAGAAATTTTTTAATATATCAAATTTGAACAATTTAGTGAACACTATAGCCCCAAAAATTTAATCTTGTTTTTCTTTTTTTTTTCTAACCAAACTTCAATAATTTTATCATTTCATGCCTGATTAACAAAACATAACATGTTAATTAGTAATTAATTTGTAATTATAAAACTAATTAAACATAAGACTTTTTAAATCAATTTACTTTTAAATAATATTAATTTATTTAAACTGTTATTTTCATGTTAACACTCTCGTTGTCGGTTTCAAGGCCGGATGTGAAAAATGGAGAGTTGCGTTAGGTAGTCGACAACCAGCGTAAAACTTGTCGAACAATGACATTAATCATTTTGATTTTTGTGTAAGTGTTAGGGCGTCCCCTTGAAGCGAAGCGTTGTATAGTCTAAATGCAGTAAAAAGTGTGTAAGGGCCGCTACATCGGCGCCTCCCACATTACGGACGGATGCGGGTAAAGAATGTAGTCCATAAAACTAATAAAATTAATATTATGATTGAATCTTAGAATATGAGTAATCTCAATGATAAATTAATGGAATTAGTTAATATTATGATTCATTAAAAAATTAATAACTTATGTATTCAAGAAACTAAATGTGTAGGAGAAGAGGCTAAGGTGATCGATAATTTAGGTTTTAAACATTGGTATTCTGGTAAGAGTGACATTGAAAATGGTGCACGTGTAATTATAGATAAAAATTTGAAAAATAATGTTGTTAAAATTATAAGAGTTTGAGATAGAATTATAGTCCTTAAAGTTATCATTGATACTAAGGTTTTTAATATTATAAGTGTTTATGCTCCTCAAGTAGTTTTAGATATAAGATCTAAAGATAAATTTTGAAATGACTTATAGAAGACTTGATAAAAATGATACCTCTTGAAGAAAAAATTTTTATTGAAAATTGTTTAAATGAACATGTCAGTAAAATGGTAGAAGATTTTAGAAGTATTAATGGTTGCTACGGTTTTGAAGTGATTAATAAAGAAGGTTAAGTTATTTTAAATCTTTCATTTAGCATATGATTTTGTTATTACTAACATTATAGTCAAGAAAATAGATGAGCATCTTATTACTGATAAAAATGGATCTAATAGAACACAAATTAATTATTTTCTTAGGAAAATAAGAGATCGTCAAGATTGTAAAGATTGTAAAGTCATTCCAATTGAGGATTTAGGTACCCAACATTATTTATTAATTCTAGATTTTAAGATGAAATGTTGCAAAATAAATAATACTATGACTCATCGTCGTAAAATTATATGGGGGAACCTAAAGACACAAATAAAAATATTTTTATAAGTAAAATTCAAGATTTCAAATTTTAAGATGTTCGTGATGAAACAAATGTTATGTGGGATAAAGTAACAAACACTATTAAACAAATAGCAAAAGATGTACATGGAGAATAAAAAAAAATTTCCTTAAATTTGTGGAGGAATAATAATGTACAAGAAAAAATAAAATATAAAAAGTTATGTTATAAAAAATTGTTTAAATATAAAAGCTTTGAGAACTGAGAAAAATATCAAACGGCCTGCAGGGAGTCTAAAAGATCAATATGTGATGCTAAAAATATTGCTTTTAACGATCTCTATAATAAATTAGAAATTAATGATGGTGAAAAATATATGTATAAACTAGCCAAAAAAAAAAAGTAAAGATTTAACTCAAGTAGAGTGTATTAAATATGAAAACAAAAAATGTTTTTCTCAGAAAAAAAATATTCAACATATGTGAGTGAATTATTTTGATAAAATTTTTAATGAAGTTTCTGAAAATTGGATTGATCTTGGTAAACTTAATATCGTTAATAATAATAAAACATTTCATTTTTATTGTTGCATTAGTAAAAAATAAGTTGAGGAAGCTTTAAAAAAACTAAAGGTGGAAAGTTTGTAGGACCTGATGATATCCCATTTGAAGTATGGAAATGTTATGAGATTTAGGAGTTTCATGGCTCACTAAACTCTTTAATATTATTTTAAAAACAAAAAAAAAAGATGCCAGAGGAGTGGAGGAAGAGTATTTTGGTCCCCATTTTTAAGAATAAAGGGGGTGCACGAGAGTGTGCAAATTATAGAGGAATTAACTTGATGTGTCATAATTTAAAATTATGGGAGAGGGTAAATGAATATATGTTAAGACGTATTACAAAGATTTCTCATAATAAATTTGGACTTATGTCGGGCAGGTCTACTATGGAAGCTATACATTTATTGAGAAGTTTGATGGAGAAGTTCAGAGATAACAAGGAGAATTTACATTTGATTTTTATTGATTTAGAAAAAGCTTACGATAAGGTTCCAAGAGATATCCTTTGGAGAGTTCTTGAGAATAAAGGTGTTGATACGACTTATATTCAAGTCATGAAAGATATGTATACTAGAGTTGTTACTTATGTCCGAACTAAAGGAGGACTGACCACATATTTTCCTATTTTTGTTTGATTACATCAGGGATTAGCTTTAAGCCCATATCTTTTTGCTTTAGTTATGTATGGTCTTACTGGACAATTACAGAAGGATGTACCTTGGTGTATGCTTATTGCTGATGATATCCTTCTCGTGGATAAAACGAGAGAAAAAACCCAAGAAAAACTTGAATTATGGAGGTCTACATTGGAGTTTAAATGCCTCCTTTTACTACTTGAATTATGGAGGTCTACATTGGAGTTTAAATGCCTCCTTTTAAGTAGATCTAAAACTGATTACATGGAATGTAATTTTAGTAACACTAGCTCTATAAACAAAAATGTAACTTTGGGTGATCAAATTATTAAAAGGTGTGAGCGATTTAGATTTCACGAGCCTGTTATTCAAAGTGATGATGATATAGATAGGGATGTTAATAGTAGAATTCAAGTTGGTTGGTTGAAGTGGAGGAATGCTTCAGGCCTTTTTGTGATAGAAAAAAACCGCTTAGACTGAAAGAAAAATTTTATAAGACGGGGTGATAATGTTGGCCTTTAAAAGAGAAGAGTAAGCATATGGCGTTGAATGTTGGCCTTTAAAAGAGAAGCATAATATTAAGTTAAGTGTTGCCAAGATAAGAATGATTAGGTGGATGAGTGATGAGTGGCTTGTGGCTTTACACTTAAAGAGAAAATACGAAATGATCATATCCATGATAGGGTTGGTGTAGCTCATGTGATGGACAAAATCAGAGAAAGTCATCTTAGATGGTTTGGTCACATTAAGCGTCGACCATCTGATAATTCGAGTCGGATGTAGGAGAGTGGTTGTTTTAAATTCGACTTATGTTAAGAAAGTCAGAGGTAGACCTAGGAAGACTTGGGCTTATTGTGTAACAATGATCTTAATTTATTATAAATAAATGAAAATGTGACACTAAATGGAGAAAAAAGATTCATGTAGCAGACACCAAGTAGTGGGATTAAGGCTTTGTTGTTTTTGTTGTTAGTTTTTTATGTTAATATATCTTAATTATTAAGGATATTTTATTTTTTAGTTAATATATCTAATTTAATTAAGGTTTATTATTATTAATTTTGAAAAAAAATGCAATGTGGATCATACCCAAGAAATAGAATGTATGAATCAAGGGAGGGAAAAAGAGTTAAGTCTAGTGCACAAAAAAAAATGTTCTTAGAGAATAAGTCACGCTCTCGATGAAATGACTCCCTATTTATAGGTCATAGGGGATATATATAAAAGTTACATATTTGTCCCTATTTTAATATGACTATTCCAATTAATTAATGCACTTCTTTGTATTTGT